CTCTGTTGAATTTTCTGAAGAACTGTCTCCCAGCAGAGTGATCCCACGCTGGAGCAGGGGCAGAGTGTAAGGAGTCCTTCCCTGAGGAGAAAGGAGCAGCAGAGCCAGCGTGTGATGAACTGACTATAATCCCCATTCCCTGTCCCCCTGCACTGCTCAGGGGAAGGAGGGAGAGAAACAGGAGCAAAGTCAAGCCTGGGAATAAGGGAGGGGTGGGGGGAAGGAGTTTTAAGATTTGGTTTTATTTCTCATTATCCTACCCCAATTTGATTGGTGATAAATTAAACTTCTGTTTCTCCCCAAGTTCAGTCTGTTTTGTCCATGACAGTAATTGGTGAGTGATCTCTCCCTGTCCTTATCTTGACCCATGAGTCTTTCATCATATTTCTTCTTCCCCGTCCAGCTGAGGACGGAGAGTGATAGAGGGCTTTGGTGGGCACCTGGCATTTCTCCAGGCTAAACCAAAACAAATAACTTTTCACATGAAAAGCAAAACCACCATACCTGGAACAGGTTGCCCAGAAAAGTTGTAGATGCCCCACCCCTGGCAGTGTTCAAGGCCAGTCTGAACGCGGCTTTGAGCAACCTGGTCTAGCAGAAGGTGTCCCCAACCACATCAGAGGGTTTGGAACCGGGTGATCTCTAAGGTCCCTTCCCACCCAAATCATTCTATGGTTTGATACCTTTTGACTAGAGAAAAAAAAAAAAACAGTTTTTCTATCAACTGCAACATGAAGATACATTTTAAACTTCATTCTTCTAGCCCATCCCTTACACACTATCCCAACAGTTTGAGACTGAAAAAACTGGAAGGTTGCTCCCTTCTCAGCTACAACCTATGAGCCTTAATATATATACCTGAACGCTTTTTATTCTATGGTTCAGCACATCCATGAAGTTGTGAATTTCATCATTTTTGCTCGCTAGAGTAGAGACAATCCTTTTCAGCGTCTCCTAGAATGACAAAAACAAGTGAGAGAAGTTGTAAAAGAACCTTGTCATTTTTTTAACCGTTACCATTTCAACATATACGGAAATTCATCATACACATGCCAGCCGTGGTGGATGTAACTCTTATTCTGATGAGAGTAGGAAATACATTTTGCTAAAACAGAGAAAGCATATCAAAGGTTTAAGTAGCATTCCACCAAACTGAAGATCTTCAGTTGTTAGTTTAAGAGAAATTGAGTATCTATTTTATGATGCACCACTTTTTCACACGTTTTGCTACCCAAGTTACTGCAACTCCCAAGTCATCTAAATCAGACCATCTACTGGCAGCACATTCTTTCACACACAGCTTCTCCAGATAAGAAAGCTAGTGCTTGCACAACCGAACAGGCAATCAATAAAGAAAGAAGAAAAGCTGGTAAAAGTTAAACCAGAAGAAAAAATAGCATTACCTACTGTCAAAACAAGCTAAATAACTAAGCCAACAGTTTATTCTATAGACAGAATAAATTTGTAACGGTGACTTGTAAATTTATTCTACAAGCGGTAAAATATTTTGGTGAATAATTTATATATTCTAATTAAAAGTGACCTCAAACAGGGAAGCTTACTGACAGCTGAGAATCAAGGTTATTTCTGTGGTGTATTACTCCAGCTATTAAAAAGTAGTAGGTTCAGCTTACAAAACACATACTAAGTGGGTAAAATTGCTAAGCACATCAAAATGCATTTTTAAATTACGTAAGACTACCCAGTCCAATTCTGTTCAGTAGCTGGCCACATATGATAAGAATATGACAAAAACACATACAACTTGACTTAATTTTAAGTATCAAGCGTTACTACTTAAAGCTTAACGCATATCAGCATATGCAACTAAAAATAAAGGACAAGGTGAGGAGGTAACTAACAGTTCTCTGTTATTTAATTCAGGCTGGTTGGTAATAAGTTCTAGGAACAAATCTGACTCTAAAATGCTAGATTTGGCTCTTTAAAAAAGAAGTAAAACCTGTCTTAACTATAATTAAGAAATTATTAATCAATTGGACTCAGAGTTAACAGGGTTGCTCAGCTTAATGCTGTTACTTGACAACATTTAGGAAATCAAAGCAGGGGGAGCTAATAAGCACACATTAAAAACAGCCAGACCACCAAAAAAGACATTGCAGAGGTCTCTCCCTTAAGCAACTTCTTAATAACCATCTGCTACTTACATCACATTTGTTTGCTAAAAAGCCAGAGAAGTATTTTACCCTTTCACAACACCCAACAGCGAACCTCAACACTAGGTCCTGTACAGCGAATCACTCCACTAGTTCTAAGCCATCGCACCTGTTTCTTCTGGCCCCTTTCTCAGCAGTTTTCAACAAATCTGCAATGACGCGTTTATTGGTACTCCGGCCCATTGTCTGTGTCCATAGCATCATGCTTACAAAGTTAAACCACTACCAGAGGAAAGCGAAATTTTATTGCTTTTACCACTGGTGTTGTGATGGTCTGATGTTGTTGGGGTTGATGTAGCTTGAGAATTAGCACGACTAGGCTGCTGAAGCAAAACAGTTAGCACAACTGGACAGGCCGCTGGGAAGGGCAGCTAAGAATATCAATCGAGAAAGTTCTGATAGTGCACATGATGTGGGTTAGCAAAACCAAGGACGTGGAGGCGGCCTGTTGCTATTGGCGTTAGTGCACAGTTACCAGTCATAAGGGAATGTGGGGCGCGTGAACAGCGCGTGATTTATGTCTGCAGCCTATCTGAATAAGCGTGATGGCATGTGCATATATGAAAAATGTATATAACCACGCAAGCGGAGCAATAAAGGAACCGACTGTGCATTGCATCAATGTGTGTAAGGGTCACTCCTGTCCCTGCACGGATGCTGAAACTCAGCATTATGTAAAGATATAAAGGACGGGCCAGCAATGACTCAGATGAGGACTCTGAGGAAGAGAAACACAAGACCAGACTGGCTTCTTTCAGAAAGAAAGAGTATAGCAAGTCTTGATCACTTCATTACAGAATCTTTTCATTGTCTGGTTAAAACTGAACACTTCTAAAGACAATTTTATACATATTAGAGTGGCAGATGAAACATCGTTGTCCAACCGCCTGCTTCTGCATCCACTACTGACCAGAGGCTATTGTTTCCACATGTCAGCCTGCAGCTAAGCCTTAGATCCTGTAAGCATAACTGTCAATTTGGATGAACAAGAGAACTCCCAATCCTCTTTCAGCTAGGATTTTAGGGCTTACTTGGTTGCACCACATGGGAAATAAAAAATTAGTCTTCTTGTACATAGTACTGAACAATATTTTTGGTTTTTACCGCTACAAAACAATTAAACGAAAAGATTTACCTGCAATAAATGCTTAGAAAGCCTTTACACAGCCAAATACATGGCAGCAACTTGAAGACAGCTGTCAAGCAAGGTTTTCCATTACATCTAAAGTTGAAGTCAACTGACCACACAGGGAGCAGTACGGCTTTCAAGTAAGCTATCAATTTTTCCAAACAGAAACTCCACCAGGTCTGACCAAACTCAAACAAGTTTAAATGCGTTCTACAAACACAGATGCAAGAGGCCTACAAATCTCCACCAGCAGCACACAGAATTTTTCTTAAACACCAATGTACACGCCACGAGAGCAGAAAGTCAGCTTTTCGGAATCACTAACATATAATATTTCCTAATCACTAACATGTAATGAATAGATTTTCTTCCAAACATACCAACACACACACCAAATCCAAAACACTGGATTGTTGCCATTTCTTCCTTTAACAGGAATTTCTCAAAAGTCACGACAATTACATGTAACAAAAAGGGTGCTAGAAAAATTAACAACATAAGCAGCAGTTGAGGCTTACATTCTAAGAATTACAACGGCACCAAGCTCAGTAAAGCTTCTTCATACTTGTAGACTGAAGGAAATTTAAATCTATTGATGGATGTAGTATTTTGTAGAATCCTATTACAAATAATTTCCTTTTAGTTTTCTCTCTGGCCAGCATGTGTTAAGCAAGGTCAGTTTCAAATTCATTTTCAAAACATTATGGCATATCTACTACAGAATTAATTTTTGCTGCTGTCAGGGAGCTTCATACTGCCCTTCACTTCTATGTCCCGTTCTTCTTTTCTGAACCTAATACACTCTTCACAGAAGAAAACTGTATGGCATTCATAAAGCAACAGTGTGAATGCACAAGAGATGAAGAATGTAAAAGGATATGAAAAAGGACAGGAAGCACCGCAACAACACACGGTGGCTTGTAGTCGTGCCAGAAACATAAATGTAGGCAATACACCCTCCTTTGATTAGCTAGTAACTACCATCACACAGCACCTGTTGAAGCAGACGGGCACCTCACAAAAGTTAAAGGGTAAACTTTGATAAATTAAACAGTTACATTAGCTCTGTTTAAGAAGCAAGGGCTCAAGATCACACTGAGTTCTTATGGCCCGAGCCAATGCAGAACAGAGTTTCTGAAGCAGCCCCAGGCCTAGGACAAAATCCTGTGCCATACTAATCTTCATGTGCAGATCAAATTTCAAACAAGAGGACATACTCACTTAGCCACCATTAATTTAATCTTCTGCACTTGTCCACATGTTCAAGTTGCCAGAGTCTGAAGAAGTACTTAAGACAATACAGGTAACAACAGCAAATTAACAAAGTACTGTAAAATACGAGATTGACTGCAATTTTATTTCTGTATTCAGAACCTCTGGACAGCAGTGAAATTCAAATACAACCAATGACGCCACCCGGGAACATCCAGCTAGAGCACCCGCAACAGCTGCAGCCCTCACTCCCTCCTTCTCAGAGAGAATGATCTCACGTAATGGCGGTGGTGTCAAATCCACACGGCGTCTATCAGAAGCACGTTTATTTGGCATTTCACACCTCACCCCAAAAAGCGCAGATGACCACGAAGGGGCAGTGCGCAGACGCACCCCCCCCTGCCCTGCCAGTTTCCAGCCATCAGCCGCGCTAGCTATCCAGACCCCACTCAAACCAGCTTCCAAGCTAACACCACCGCCTTAACAGTGGCGGTAACGGGAGCCCTTCCGGAGCGCCGGACTGAAAACCAGAAGGCCGAGCCGGAACTTTTCGCAGAGCATGTTTTTTAAAAAGCCCAGCCCTCGGCCAGGCACCTCCCGGCTCCTCAGCGGCTTCCCCG